ATTAAAATTAATATTATTGTTACTTCATATTTAAGAGAAGAAAAAGATGTAATGTTATTAAAAATATTAATAAATTTAATTATAATCATTACAGAAATAATACAACTCTTATTGTTACTTCATATTTAAGAGAAAAAAAAGATGTAATGTTATTAAAAATATTAATAAATTTAATTAAATCATTACAGAAATAATACAACTCTTATTTCTTTTATCAAATTAATTATATAATTATTATTATACTTTTAATATTTTTTTAATGATAAAAAGTTTGAATTTTTTCTTTTTTATATTTTTTTCCCAAGAACAAAATACTTTTAAATACAAAAGCAAACGCGGCGACGCCACTTCTCCCAAGCCTATATCTGTACGGCCATTTCTGTATTGCCGAGAATTCAAGAAGCAGAGGGACGCCTCACTTCTTCTAACAGTCTGATTCTAGAGTTCCAAAAGCCCAAAACCCATCATCAGATACCTTCCTTCTTATCTGGGTTTTCTTTGCTTTTCAGAAATTTCGCAAAAATTTCCAATTTTTGTCAACTTCTCTGGTTTTGGAATTAGGATCCCTGTTAATTGCTGTTGGGGTGGTTTGGATTCCCAGGATCTCAGCTTCTTTATTTCTGGGTATTGTGGGGGTGTGATTTTCACGGCGGTGGTATCAGCGTGAGGTACCCTTGATTTTATCTTTTATGTTAAGTTCTTCTGTTCCCATTCTATATTTTTGATTCAGTGATCAGTCTGAAAATCAGTCTTCGGTCGAATATCTCATATTCTTTTGCGGTTTAGTTTGTTGGGTTAATGAGTAAAAGCGGATGAATTGAAAGATTTTTTTTTTTTTTTTAGATTTATGTAATTTGAGTTATGATCTGTACTGCTTATTCAAAGTGGGTATATAATTATCTTTTTTAAATTCATCTTTTTCTGAATATTTGCAGTTGTTTGTGGTTGAATTGGGAATTTTTGTTGAAGTGTTTGAAATAGTTTGACTCTATGTCGGTTCTTGAGGAAAATTTGTAATTTTCTTAGTTACAGTAACAAGTTATCTGATTTAATAATATTAGAATTTTCTAGGGCAGTTTGCTTTCTGATGGATTCCATTCATCAATTTTCCTCGCAATGAGTCATTGCAGGCTCATCTTTTATTCACCAGCCTTCTTTGTTTTTAGAGTTGTGCTGGGATAGCTCATAATTCCCACTAATCTGAGAACTAGCAATGATTTGAATCCTTCCATTGTCAGCATTGTTTTCTGTGGAGTGAAAAATCATCTTTGAAATAGTAGAGTGAATTTAGTTATATTTTCAGCTTCTGGAAGAGCATTATGGTTTTAATCTATGGTATTTACATGGGGCATTCAAGTTATTGCAGTTTTGATGACCTTGCAAAACACTGTTGTTATATTAATTATATTGGATTTGGTTTGGATTTTGATGAGAATGTATTCTAAATATAGTCTTCCTTTCTTCGAGATTACCTTTTGGAGCACTGTGTTGTTATGCTGTTACCTATTAATTTTTTTTATCCTTTCAATCCTTGCAGTTTCATTTACTGATACAATAGTGATGGCCAATCCAAATACAGCAAAATCTATGGTCTCTTCTTCAACATCTGAACAAAAGGAAGCACCTGCAGGAGATTCAAACTCGAACATGCTTCAACCTACTATGAACGAGCAAAACCGAAGCTCCTCAGATCGTCATGTAGCTATACTTTGGGATATTGAAAACTGCCCTATCCCAAGTGATGTTCGCCCTGAAGATGTAGCTGGCAATATAAGAATGGCTTTGAGGGTGCATCCTGTCATTAAAGGGGCTGTTATTATGTTCTCTGCTTATGGGGATTTTAATTCCTTTCCCAGGCGTCTTAGAGAGGGATGCCAGAGAACTGGTGTTAAACTCATAGATGTTCCAAATGGCAGGAAGGATGCTGCTGACAAGGCTATTTTGATTGACATGTTTTTGTTTGCTCTTGACAATCCTCCACCTTCTTCCATCCTGCTGATTTCAGGGGATGTAGATTTTGCGCCAGCTCTTCACATACTCGGTCAGCGTGGGTATACAGTCATTCTTGTTATTCCTTCTGGCGTGGGTGTTTCTTCTGCCCTGTGCAATGCAGGTAAGTTTGTCTGGGACTGGCCTAGTGTGGCTCGTGGGGAAGGATTTGTTCCACCCTCAAAAGGTTTGAAGCATCCTCGTCCAACTCAGCTTGCTGGTTATTTCATGGGGTGCCATATAAATGACAATCTAGATGGCCAAAATGAGGAAGAATCAATAGTTTGCAGGGGAATTCCACAAAGCTATTACAACTCGAGGGATTTCTCAATAATGTCACAATCTTTATCTGAGTATCCAAGTAATCCTTCTATCACCGCCCCAATTTTCCCTGCAAATTTGAGGTCACATGGTCTCCCATCTGGGTTGACTGAAGCATCAGGATATCATGTCTCTTATGATCACAATGATACCATGTGGGTACAACCTGGTGACGTAAATGGTCTGAAAGGACAGCTGGTGAAGTTGCTTGAATCATCAGGAGGCTGTCTTCCCTTTACCCGCGTTCATGCTGAGTACCAGAAAATGTTTGGAAGGCCACTTTATTGTTCGGAGTATGGAGCGTTCAAGCTTGTTAATCTCTTCAAGAAAATGGGTGATGCAATGGCAATTGATGGAAAAGGCCAAAAGAAATTTGTCTACCTTCGGAGCTCGAAAGCCAGCCCAAATGAGCCTCCTGTTGCTCTGGCAAGGAAGGATAAGAAAGGAAAGGGGACTGTGGAGGAAAACGTGGATTTTGCCCCTGGTGGAGGCTCTTCTGATGACTACTCTGATGAGGAAAGGATGGCAGATGAAGAACAGGATGATAGAAGGAACCTAGGGAGGATTAATTTAGGAATGGGACCAACAGCTGGATGTGAAGTTGATGACAGTTATCTGGAGCAGTTCAAATATGAGTTGCAGGAAATTCTAGTAAGCTATTCTTGCCAGATTTTCTTGGATTGTTTTGAGGCGATATACCAGCAAAGGTACAAGAAACCCTTGAACTATCAAAAGCTCGGTATTGAAAAGCTGGAGGAGTTGTTTGAGAAGGTGAGAGATGTTGCAGTCATGCAAGTAGACCCAGTGAGCAAGAAGAAATTTCTGGCTGCAGTAGACGGCTAGTGAAATCAGGTAGCTGCATTTTGTTGTAACCTTTTTAATTCTTTTTCTTCTTTCAACTTAAAAAGGGCAGAAAGTTGAATAAGCTGTATGCTTTATCAGTGCTTGATCTCTCTGTTCTTATTTTCTTTCCCTTCAAAATTTCCCCCACAAAATTCCATAAGTTGTGATGGTAGAGGTGGAAAATGCTGTTTTTTTATTTGTGTTTTGCATGGAGTTGTTTTAAATTTTCCATGTAATACTGATACCTAGGCATTGTAAACTGATTGACCACTAATTGGAAATCTTTGTGTACATTAAATCTTTTTCTTTATCTATCTTAGCAAGCATATGAATCAGCTTTGGATTCATTGGCTACTCCTTTTTTTTATTATTGTTATTATTATTTTTTAATGTAAAAGCTACTACATATACCTCTTTATTCCATTTGTGCAACTGGTAATTTAAGAATTCCAGGTTTGAGAACTCATATGTCCCAGATATTCTATGCCTTGAACTCACACTTCAGTACCTGTTGTTGACAATCAACCTCAAGTTCAATCTTGCATCTTCGCCACATCCCTGGACCAAATATAGCTTTAGAAATACATTGGAAAAGATTCAGGGGTTGTTTCAAAAGTTCACAAGGAAAAGATTTTTTTTTTTATTATTATTATACATACGACTAAAGATTTTTACCATTTTATGTGTTTTAGGTTGTCAATTCCTAGATGAATGGACTAGATCATCAGTCGCACTTTACCCATGTTTTTAATGGGTTAAAAATGAGAATAAAACTCTGTAGAGGATGGATCACTAAGTCTAGAGAAATCTATTCCACATCTATGCGGCTAACATCTTGGATGCTCCATGCTTTTCTTGTATAGGGTCTTTTTCAAGGTTAGGGGAACTGGGGCCCTCCCCAATCCCATGGTTAGTTTTGTGCAAATTTTTAAACTTCAATGAACAAGAATTCTTATGTTTTATGGTTTCCTCAATATTACCTATGTGGAGTTAGAGGTGATGAATACTGCATCAAAGTCATTGTTCCGGCAACCCAGGAAGAGGCTTTCATATGTATTGACATTTGAATCAGAGCGAGAAAGGAATACAATCATTATGGTTGCAAGAAAACATGCTCTTGATTGCAATGTAAGTTCTTTTTCTTTCTTTGCATATTACTGCAGTGCTTTTATGCTATCATAGCTTTCTAAAACTTCCAATATTATTGCAAAAATTTGATTTTTCACACGATCTCTTCTTTGTTCTGCACAAAACATGTATATATATGGGAAATCAGGAGCTTTGCCTGCTTAGCTCTGCACAACTTGATGAGAAGCCTCTATTCCCTTTGCATCCCTCAAGTAATGGTCACTGCTTTTCATCTCAGAAAACTGTTGTTTCAAGCATCAAGAGAGGATTCTCTGATGCAATGTATGGGTTTTCAAAGGTGAAACTACCTTCTGTTAAATGGTTCGCATGAGATTGTATTTTTTTAGAGGTTTAACTTGAAAATGGAAAATATGTGTTGCAGGGAAACATGCTTTCTAACTAGGAAGTAAATGTGATGCTGTCACCTAGGTCATGTTCGAACTTGGGATTGAAATCAGGTTGTGTGCTTGAAAACCTTGCATCTCAACCAACAAAAGCAAAAAGAGATAGCAATTCAAAACTGTGCTTAGAGGTTAATTTTCTGCTGCAACAGCTTATGCTTTCTACAAGAGTATTCCTCACTGGGAGAGTAATAGATGTAAATGGATTTAGAGATCATTAACAACTCCAAAAATCCAACACTTTCTATGGTTTCTATCCCACCAACGACTTGAGTGCTTTGATTTCCTAGACAGTTAAATATGTATGTATTGTTGACATCATAGAGATTGAATTCTCTGAAACTCAGTGATGTATTTTCCTTTTAAGTAATGATATGGTATCAATTTACTATAATTAATGGTAAAAAGAAATTATTATTTAATTATTAACTTTTTATTAATATATTAATTAGTAAATATTAAAATTTATTTATTTTTTTAATTTTTATTTCATGGACCTGGGCATTGTCCGGGTATTAACTAGTAAATTCCAAGCCACTAAAACACCCAAATAACACTCAAGAAAAACAACCAAGTGCAGACATCTTTATCTCTATGACGAGAAACATAACACCGGAAACAAACTGTAAGAGTGCCGACATCTTACTTCTAAGAACCACCGAGATCCCACCCCAAAAAAGAGCCAACTGCCAACTGCAACAACCTTGAAATAGGCAATAGTTCAGGTGCACATCATGTTCTTGCGCGGCACCAAGCTTCCAAAGTTGGGACCACTTGTTTCCAATTGCATCCACTTCAACAGGGCAGTTGTTATCAAAGTTGACGAGTGTATAGAGATCTCCTTTAAAAAGGTAAGCCTCTCCTTTCTTGTTGGAAGCAAAGGCTGCTTCTATTCCATCTTCAAATTTGGTGTCTTTCAAGCAAGAAAATTTCTCGGTTATGGTACCAGTGATGATGAGGGTCTTCTCCTCGTAATTTATATAAGCATACTGATTGCCTTTAAAGAGGTAAGCTTTGTCATCTTCAGCTTCAAAAGCAGCATCCAAATCGCTTTCAAAATTTGTATGTTTGAAGAAGGGGAACATGCGGTTGATTTCTTTTTCCCAATATACAACCTTCATTTTATAGTTCATGTATGCACAGAAATCACG